TCCCTGAGGAGAGACCTGCAGCTGCCTGGAGACAGCACCAAGCCAAGCCTGAACAACCCAGCCCTGCTGGGCCTGGCTCAATCCCCACGGAGCAATGACCAGGGAACAGCCATACCTGACCCTTCACACCTGACAGCGCCTCTTTCCATCGACTACAAATATTCTAGACTACCAAGCTGAAGTAACTCAAAAGTAGATTTGCTGTTCATTCTCAGGACAGATTATGGACCCAAGATCCCAGCTGTGCTGGCTAAGGCAGGAGGCACTTTGTGCTCCATTCCCTTCAGGAAAATGCTGCCACGGAGAAGGCTTACCTGAGGAGCTGCCATCTCCATGGATGGTGGGTGTACTGGGCAGAATGGGCACCTTGTCCTGCTCTCTCACGACCGTTTCCTTCATGGCACCACCAGGGTGTTTTCTCTGCACACTGGGAGCCGTGCCATTGGTAGGTGGTAGGCTAAAGCCTGCAGGGACCAAAGAGGAGCTTGTAAGTGAAGAGTGCTGGACAGGGTGATGATGGAAAGGGCCAGAAAAGTTGCTGGACCTGGGTAACATCTCTTTATTGTCCCAAAGAACTTCAAGTACAACAATGGCACACTAACATGGGACAGTGAGCACAGAATCCCAGAGGAGCTTGGGCTGGAAGGCACCTTTAACCATCATCTATTCCAACCCCTGTGAGCAGGGATGCCTTCATCTAGATCAGGTTCCTCAGAGCCCCATGTAAACTGGCCTTGAACACCTTCAAGGATAGACCAACAACTGCTTCCCTTGGCAAATCCTTCCAGCTTTTCATCCTCTTCATTTAAAAACATTCTCCATCATATCTAATCTAAATCTACCCTCTTCTAGCTTAAAAGCAAACTGCAGTGACACTTCCCCTAAGAAACAAGGAAAACCCAGTATTGCTTTGCTTTTGTTCTCCTGCTCCAGAGGCAGGCAGGTGAAGTTACCAAAGTGCAGATAACCTGGTGTGATGCTCTCGGGCTGAGTGCTGCCTCCCGAGGGCCCTGCTGCCGCCCTCGGGCAGCGCTCACAGCCCTGCAGGCAGCGCCCCTCAGCCAGGATTAATTTGGGAATGCTGCTTGCTCCTGGGGCTACAACAGAAGCCCTGCCAGGGCCTTCAGCACAGCTCTCCAGCGCCATCTCCTCAGCAGGGAGTGGCAGGAGAAGGATCTCTGGAGTTTTCATCAGAAGGAATGGAATTTTGTTTTTTCCAGGTTGCACCCCGGTTGAAAAGCATTCTTTCAGCCTCACCTTCCCTGGAGGCTGCTCTCCAGGAGAGAGTCTGAAGCCCCAGTGTACTTTCTTTGCAAGACAGAATTTTCTACTCTGAAAGACTTTACAAGTGGAGGTGGGAAGCTGATATTCTTTTACTGACTCAGTGAGGCCATGGGCAAGACACTTCATGTCTCTGTATTTTTCTTTGGGAAGCAGAATTAAATCCTAATGCAGCTTCTTACTCAGGTGCAAGCAGAACAGCCCCCCAGTCTGATGGCAACATTGTGCAAGTGGTCAAAAAGGACCACCACAAGTGTAGCCACCACTTACTTGCTTTAGCTGCATCCCCAGGCTCAACTGTCTCTGGAGGAAGCTGCAAAGATTTTTCATTTTGTCTCCTCTTCATCTCTTTTCCCAAAAGCTCCATTTTCTTCTGCTCTACGTTCTCCTCAGCCAACTTGCACAATTCAGCATGGATCTAGGTGCAATGGAAACACATCACAGACTATAAGCAGAGACACACCAACCAGACACAACATCTCATCAGGAGCAGAGAGTCCATAGAGTGCCATGGTCTTCCATGCAGCTCCATATCCATTCCAAAAGTTTCAGAGGAATGTCTCCCGTCCTCACCTTGGCAATTACACACAGTGAGGTGGAACAGTTTAGTGCCACAACTTTACACTGCTGCAACTGCAACCTCTGTCAGGAAGCCCTCCTTGAAGCATGAAAGTCATAGGAGTGCTCCAAGACAGGTGAAGAGCTCACATGACAGTGAGCAGGCAGCTCAGTTCCTACAGGCCATGGCAGGAGAATGAAAACCATGTGCAATACCCAGCAAGGAGGGAGAATGTGCTGTTGCTTAACACTCATGGCCAGGAATTGCAGCTGTTTCTCACTTCCTGGCTTCGGAAGGACTCAGCTCTGAAGGACTTGGTCTCTGAGGCCAGCAGACCAAAAGGAGGAGTCTTGTGAAAACAAGTTGCACAAATGCTGATATTAATGAGCAGAAAACTTGAGAATGAGAGGGCTGTGAGATACAGCCACAAAGGTGACCAGGAAAAAGCAAACTCTCCCATTTTAGTTTGCAGCCTTGCTTACACTCAACATTAGAATCTTTGCTTCTCTGCTTCCAAGGATGCACTTTGCCTACATTCCCTGATGTCTAGCTCACTCTGCCATTCAGAACTTCTCTAAAACAGCCTTTGCACATAGAGAATGCTTCTGGCGTGACCTTAGCACCATCTCCAAACCAGTCACCTTGGCACCACTGGAAATGGCCAAGCAATTGCCCTGTAGTTGTCAAATACATTCCCAAGAGAATCCCCATCCCCCAAGGAGTGCAAGATTATGATTTTCAGTGACATTTTGGGCCAAGCACTAAACAGCCACTGGAAAGGAAGTCTAGTCATCCCTGTCCTTATCCCTTACCTTTCCAAAGCTGTCCCTCAGCTCTTTGTCACTCCTAAGACCAGGACTGCTGGGATGATCTGTCTCCTTGGCCTGGCTCAGTGGGAGGCCTGGGAATGGAAGCAAAGGTTCCTGTAAATCGCTGGCAGATTTCAAGCCCCCAAAAATGCCATGCTGGGCAACAGGCCAGACAGGTTCCAGACCGCAGAGCTCTCTTAAAACACAGAGATTGGGATTGAGAGCAGCAAGGTACAATGCCTAGACCCTCTCCCAAGGGATGGGCTACTGGCAGCAGACATGACATTACTCTGTGGCCAGCAGAATGAAACCTGCTGCATGACAAACGCCTCAGCCCCTGCATGCTGAGAGCCTCTGGGTCTGATAAAGAAGGGCAGAGCTAGTGATTGGTCTTGACAGAGATTCTTATCTCCCCTTTTTCATTCTGATTTTAGTTAGAATTTTCTTTCCAGTTCCGAAGAAGTCCCAGGTTCTAATACCTGGATGCATTTAGATCAACCTTTTCTTCTCTTTGTTGCAATACTTTAGAGAACATTCAAAGAAAAGCCGAGGGTTGCAGGAGTGATACCCAAACGTAAATTGTGTTCTTGACACTACAGCCCCACGGGCACTGCCAGCAGCACAGCTCATTGCAGGGGCACATGCAGGGCACAGCTGTTCCCTGGGAATGTGCACAGCCTGTCTGGGCTGCCACAAGACCCTTCCTCCCAACAGAGAGCGGCCCAGCTCCCACCTCGCCTCTATGTCAGGCTGCTCCATGCTCCTGGGGCTACTCTAATTTTGGCACAAGAAAGGCTACAGGGCCATAAAAGGCATGTGCAGAATGCGCAGGAATATTTTCTTTTTTGAGCTGCATTTCTAGAACCGCAAGGTACCACTCCAGCTTCTGCCACTCAACACTTCACACTGGAGGAATTTTCACTGAGCTACCAGAGAACACTCCCAATGACAGGGCTCTGGAAGAGTCAAATGAGCCCATCAAGGAAATGAAATTAATTTAAAGACATTTTTAAAAGAATGCATTTTAACCAAACATTCCTAATGCCACCTCTGAATCAAGATTCTATTGGTCATTTTAGGACAGACATGCCCTGTACCTACCTGCATCTTCTGGGGTCTTCTCTTGGCTTCTGCTGCTGGGTCTTGGCCTGGAGAAAACAGAGGGCAAAAGAACATATGAGGAGCTAGAAGGAGAAGGGAGGGAATGGGCGTACTGAGCAAGGAGCACACCTTCTTAGCATGGTCACTGTGATGAAGGAGGAAATGCAATAAATAAACCCAAGAGGATGCAAAGATGATTCATTGTCCTTAAGCTTGCAGTTGCTGGAGTCACAGCGAGCTGGCCAAGCTCTGGCTGAAATAACAGCCAGGTCCAGCAGGGGACCCATCCTGAGATGCTTTGAAGCCCTGCCTCCTCTTGCCCACCACCACCTCTCCTCTTGGGGCATTGCTCTTGGGTTTGACATTGGATTTGACAAAATGATGAATACACAGAGGTTTGCCTAAATACATGGGACAGCTGACTGTGCCAGATTACCACAGGAGATGGCAAGAGTGAGGTGAACAGCACACTGGAGCAGCAAAGACCTTGGCTTACCTCATCTCCTGGGACTCCTGCAAATCCAGCTGGA